TAATGTTCAGACATTTTAGATTTTCTTAGTATTTATAAAGGCTCAGAATGCTCATTTTCACAGTTTCCAAAAAAAAAAAAAAAGCTAAACTGATGATTAAATAGCTTTCACTTAGGAGGTTATATAAATAGGAATTATGTAGCTACTTTCGTAGACACAAATAACTCGCACATGGAGAGAGGAGCTTACAACCACCTGTCGGCCCAACTTGGTGGACCATTTACAAATGACACTAAGAGAAAAGAGTGAAGTAGCCAGTATATATATATATAATATATATATATATATATATATATAATATATATATATATATATATATATATATATATATATATATATTATATATATATAGGATGGGGTCCACCTCTGGTGTAAATTGTGGGACTCATAGCCTCGGAGAAGTGGATAAAAAGGCTTCAAGGAAGAATATTTGGATTTCTTCCTGAAGCCATTTGAATATTCCACTTCCCCTACCACCCCATCTTTTAAACTATTTTTTTTTTACCAATAGGAATATTTTATTACATAATTTGGCACAGAAGATTAAGAGATACATTGTTGATATAAAGGTGGCATATACGGTACATGTTGTTACGTGTGTATCACCGATTATAAGGCGAAAATCTCATCCAGCTCCTCAGAGCTGGGGCGTGTGCCCAAAATGCAGCATGCATTACCCCTTTGAACAGCTGCACTGAGCCGCTGGAACAGAAAACTAGCTGCCCTGGGATCCCTAGTATATATATATATATATATATATATATATATATATATATAATATAATATATATATATATATATAATATATATATATATATATTACACATACATATATACATGTGTGTGTGTGTGTGTGTGTCAACATTAGAGGGAAAAAGCACACTGAACATTGGTAGAAGAGACTGATCTATATTGGTAGAAGAGAAACCACTGGTTACAGAAAGTCAAATCCATGCCAAGAAATATTACGATTTTATTGAGTAAACCCAAAGAGGAACCTTCCTGAGGCTGACTAAACTGTTGTTTTACTGCCTCCAATTTTTCGATTTGATTCTGCTGATGCCTGGAGAACGTCTCGTGCAGTGTTACAGTGTGTCACAAGTCTGGGACGGTATATGGATCCGTGAGGAACTCATTGCTTTATCATTTATATATAGTCTTCATATTATATTTGTAGACGTTTCCCCAGCCACTGACTGGCGAAACGTCTACAGATAAGCATACCCAGGTGTTGCACGTGTATTTAATTCTTCAGTTTGTCAGTATTGTACACCCTTCATGTACTATACCCAGTACAAGGGTTCTCACTTGTGTGACACCCAGTACAAGGGTTCAAACATGTGTGACACCCAGTACAAGGGTTCTCACTTGTGTGACACCCAGTACAAGGGTTCAAACATGTGTGACACCCAGTACAAGGGTTCTCACTTGTGTGACACCCAGTACAAGGGTTCAAACATGTGTGACACCCAGTACAAGGGTTCTCACTGTGTGTGACACCCAGTACAAGGGTTCAAACATGTGTGACACCCAGTACAAGGGTTCAAACTTGTGTGACACCCAGTACAAGGTTCAAACATGTGTGACACCCAGTACAAGGGTTCAAACTTGTGTGACACCCAGTACAAGGGTTCAAACATGTGTGACACCCAGTACAAGGGTTCAAACATGTGTGACACCCAGTACAAGGGTTCAAACTTGTGTGACACCCAGTACAAGGGTTCAAACATGTGTGACACCCAGTACAAGGGTTCAAACTTGTGTGACACCCAGTACAAGGGTTCAAACATGTGTGACACCCAGTACAAGGGTTCAAACTTGTGTGACACCCAGTACAAGGGTTCAAACATGTGTGACACCCAGTACAAGGGTTCTCACTTGTGTGACACCCAGTACAAGGGTTCAAACATATGTGACACCCAGTACAAGGGTTCTCACTTGTGTGACACCCAGTACAAGGGTTCAAACATGTGTGACACCCAGTACAAGGGTTCAAACTTGTGTGACACCCAGTACAAGGGTTTTCTCTTGTGTGACACCCAGTACAAGGGTTCAAACATGTGTGACACCCAGTACAAGGGTTCTCACTTGTGTGACACCCAGTACAAGGGTTCAAACATGTGTGACACCCAGTACAAGGGTTCAAACTTGTGTGACACCCAGTACAAGGGTTCTCACTTGTGTGACACCCAGTACAAGGGTTCTCACTTGTGTGACACCCAGTACAAGGGTTCAAACTTGTGTGACACCCAGTACAAGGGTTCTCACTTGTGTGACACCCAGTACAAGGGTTCAAACTTGTGTGACACCCAGTAAAAGGGTTCTCACTTGTGTGACACCCAGTACAAGGGTTCTCACTTGTGTGACACCCAGTACAAGGGTTCTCACTTGTGTGACACCCAGTACAAGGGTCTCAACTTGTGTGACACCCAGTACAAGGGTTCAAACTTATGTGACACCCAGTACAAGGGTTTAAACTTATGTGACACCCAGTACAATGGTTCTCACTTGTGTGACACCCAGTACAAGGGTTTCACTTGTGTGACACCCAGTACAAGGGTTCAAACTTATGTGACACCCAGTACAAGGGTTCTCACTTGTGTGACACCCAGTACAAGGGTTCTGACTTGTGTGACACCCAGTACAAGGGTTCAAACTTATGTGACACCCAGTACAAGGGTTCTCACTTGTGTGACACCCAGTACAAGGGTTCTCACTTGTGTGACACCCAGTACAAGGGTTTAAACTTATGTGACACCCAGTACATGGGTTCTCACTTGTGTGACACCCAGTACAAGGGTTCTCACTTGTGTGACACCCAGTATAAGGGTTCAAACTTATGTGACACCCAGTACAAGGGTTCTCACTTGTGTGACACCCAGTACAAGGGTTCTGACTTGTGTGACACCCAGTACAAGGGTTCAAACTTATGTGACACCCAGTACAAGGGTTCTCACTTGTGTGACACCCAGTACAAGGGTTCTCACTTGTGTGACACCCAGTACAAGGGTTCTCACTTGCGTGACACCCAGTACAAGGGTTCTCACTTGTGTGACACCCAGTACAAGGGTTCTCACTTGTGTAACACCCAGTACAAGGGTTCTCACTTGTGTGACACCCAGTACAAGGGTTCAAACTTATGTGACACCCAGTACAAGGGTTTCTCACTTGTGTGACACCCAGTACAAGGGTTCTCACTTGTGTGACACCCAGTACAAGGGTTCAAACTTATGTGACACCCAGTACAAGGGTTCTCACTTGTGTGACACCCAGTACAAGGGTTCTGACTTGTGTGACACCCAGTACAAGGGTTCAAACTCATGTGACACCCAGTACAAGGGTTCAAACTTATGTGACACCCAGTACAAGGGTTCAAACTTATGTGACACCCAGTACAAGGGTTCAAACTTATGTGACACCCAGTACAAGGGTTCTCACTTGTGTGACACCCAGTACAAGGGTTCAAACTTATGTGACACCCAGTACAAGGGTTCAAACTTATGTGACACCCAGTACAAGGGTTCTCACTTGTGTGACACCCAGTACAAGGGTTCTCACTTGTGTGACACCCAGTACAAGGGTTCAAACATGTGTGTCACCCAACATGTCTCTGCTAGTGAGTTATGCCAACTTGGTGAGGATAACGAGAAGGAAAACACAGAATGAAACTGCAAGAGGAAGCAGACAGGTTGTCATATTCATTTGAGAAGGAAGGTGCACTGCAGCAAGTCTACTGGCCCAAACAAAGCAGGTCCACCTCACACCCTCCCACATGAAAGACTCACAAACAAGACCCACAGATAGCTAAACAAAATCTCCCTAGAACACGAATATACAGCGCCACTATACAACCCTCTCCTAACCAAAACACCAAAAAACTTGAGAAAACTCAAATAAATAACTCAAGACTTAGGGACTGATCACCTTAAACAATTTTTCCACGTCTTTCACCGTCTCCAGTAATAATTCTCTACATTTGACTGATGAAACCACTGGTTGGTGAAACGTCTCAAAAAAACAAAGTTTGGAAGTGTGGTAAATACAGTACGTCTTGTTCACTAAACCTGTCAGTTTTGTGTACCATTAGTGTAATAATTTAGGTGACTAGTATAATGACTGAGATGATCAGCCAACTCTAAGAAACTGCTTGAACTTCCTGTCTCATCCTGGAAGAACACACAACAAGAGGTGATATGGTCACTACATGAAAAATAATGATGGAAATTAGACATGCCCAATATCAAGGAAATAATTGGAAGACAATTGAACTATATACAAAAGATGAGGTAATCAGTCCCCTCAGTCCTGGACGAGACAAAAGATGAGGTAATCAGTCCCCTCAGTCCTGGACGAGACAAAAAGATGAGGTAATCAGTCCCCTCAGTCCTGGACGAGACAAAAGATGAGGTAATCAGTCCCCTCAGTCCTGGACGAGACAAAAGATGAGGTAATCAGTCCCCTCAGTCCTGGACGAGACAAAAATGAGGTAATCAGTCCCCTCAGTCCTGGACGAGACAAAAGATGAGGTAATCAGTCCCTCAGTCCTGGACGAGACAAAAGATGAGGTAATCAGTCCCCTCAGTCCTGGACGAGACAAAAGATGAGGTAATCAGTCCCCTCAGTCCTGGACGAGACAAAAGATGAGGTAATCAGTCCTTCAGTCCTGGACGAGACAAAAGATGAGGTAATCAGTCCCCTCAGTCCTGGACGAGACAAAAGATGAGGTAATCAGTCCCCTCAGTCCTGGACGAGACAAAAGATGAGGTAATCAGTCCCCTCAGTCCTGGACGAGACAAAAGATAAGGTAATCAGTCCCCTCAGTCCTGGACGAGACAAAAGGTACAGAGAGACATTTTGAAATGGGATAAACGATTGGAAATTACACATCCATCACACAGGTGCTTCAGAAACTCCACTTGTTCAGTGTTTCAGCGAGACAGTCTTGTAGTTCATGAGATGTTAAAGCGGTGTGGGTCGTTCATTGCTGGGAGAGGTGTGGTG